ATGTGGAGATCAGAAAACAACTTTCAGAAATACATTCTCTCCTTCCGCCATAGGGTTTGTCCAACCTTGGTTTCTGTTGCTGTGATAAAGCACTCATCAAAAATATGTTGGAAAAAAGATTTTAGTTTACAACTCACAGTCCACCACCAAGGGAAGCCAAGGTAGAGCACAAGACAGGAGTCTGGAGGCAGGAACTGAAGCAGAGACCACAGAAGAACTGCTGAATGGCTTGTTTCAAGGTTCATGTTCAGCTAATACTTACACAGCCCTGGTCCACCTGCCTAGGCATAGTACCACCCGCAGTGGGTGGGCATTCCACATAACTTAATAATCAAGAAAATTCCCCCATAGACATGGTCACAGGCTAATCTGACAGAAAAAAAATTCCCCAATCGAAGGTCCCTCTTCCCAGATATGATAGGCTTATTTATGTGAAGTTGACAAAACAAAGCAGCACATGGGTCCAGTTAAAAAATCATCAAACTTGAGAACAAGAGTCCTTACCCACTAAGCCATCTTACCTGCGCATTTTTTCATTCTTCTTATATTCCTATTTTTTCGAGAGAAAGTCTTTATCCATAATATCAATTTTCTGATCATAACTCCCCATAGACATGGTCACAGGCTAATCTGACAGAAAAAAATTCCCCAATTGAAGGTCCCTCTTCCCAGATATGCTAGGCTTATTTATGTGAAGTTGACAAAACAAAGCAGCACATGGGTCCAATCAAAAAATCATCAAACTTGAGAGCAAGAGTCCTTACCCACTAAGCCATCTTACCTGCGCATTTTTTCATTCTTCTTATATTCCTATTTTTTCGAGAGAAAGTCTTTATCCATAATATCAATTTTCTGATCATAACAGGGCATGAAGAAACAAAACCTTACATGTGTATTGAGCATTTCTTGCATTTTAAACCTCTACATGCAACCTTGAATAAGACATAATTGACACGCTGTTATTACACCTCCATGGAGTATAGTACTCTGATCTGCACAGTTTTAGTAAAGAATTTTGTATCCAGAACTCATACTCTCAACCAGTGCACCATGTGGTGATAGAGTTAGCGAGATAAGTTCAGTTGACTTAAATATGAGCAAAGCTAAAACAACTTTTTCATAACAAAGAAAAATTTTTTGGCTTGAGAAAAGTGTTGGTTTTGAGAATGAGAAAAGTAGAAAATCGTTCTTATCTGTTATCACACTTAAAGGCGAAGATCTTGAGAAATGGTTTTGTGACTCAGAAAATAGCTCTTTCAGAATATTCTCTGATGTAGATACAAATGAGCTCTGCTTTGCATTTACTTTTGAGAGTTGGAGCTTGCTTCACTGAACAGATTCAAAGAGAGTAATAAGCTAATGGGACCCTCAGGTCTTCAGTAAGTAGCATACCGCCTTGAATAACCTGCTGCCAAGTACCAAAATTACTTGTAAAACCAAAGAAGCAATGGAAAAGGAGGAATGTGAACACCAACCACAACAAAACATACAGACTGCAAAGACAAAAGTTAAAATCTGTGGCCTAATCTAGAGAATAATTAACTATTGTTTACAGAGGCTCTCTATGCATATCACCAAGTATCAAATATCCACACACCCACAAGTCATTTGCCTTCACAACTTCAAGTGAGAAGCATCTTCAAGAAGCTGGGTGGTGGAAGGCAGTGGTACCTTTCAACTTGCTTTCTTCATTTCTTCTGACATGTTTCCACAGTTGCTTGATGGCATTCTTCATCTCCATGTTTCTGAGTGTGTAAATCAGAGGGTTGAGCATAGGGGCAATGATGGTGTAAAAGAGAGCAAATACTTTGTCTTCGGGTAAAGTAGTTGCTGGTCGAATGTAAATAAACAGTAAAGGAGCAAAAAATAGGACCACCACCGTGATGTGTGAACTGCATGTAGACAGAGCTCTGCGGCGATTTACTGCTGAGTACGACCTAACAGTGTATAAGATCACAGCATATGATATCAATAAAACCATGAAAGTCACCAAGCCCATCAGGCCAGAGTTAGCAATAACCAAGAAACCAATTTTGCTGGTGTCAGTACAGGCCAGTTTGAGCAAAGGATACACATCACAGAAGTAGTGATCGATTTCATTTGGACCACAGTAGGGTAAGAAGATGGCAAGGAGAAACTGACCAAAGGAATGCAGAAAGCCCCCGGCACAGGAAGCAGCAATTAAGGCATCACATCTCTGCCTGTTCATGATGACGCTGTAGTGCAGGGGCTTGCAGATGGCCACATAGCGGTCATAGGCCATCCCTGTGAGGATAAAGACCTCAATGCCCCCGAAGAAGTGCATAGTGAAGAGCTGTGTCATGCAGCAGTTGTAGGAAATGGACTTCCTTGTTGCTAGTAGGTCAATGATCAGCTTGGGGGTCACAGTGGATGTGTAGCACAGGTCTGATAGTGAGAGGTAGCTTAGGAAGAAATACATGGGCTGATTGATAAGGTGGCTACACGTGATGGAAATCATGACAAGTACGTTCCCAAACAAAATTGCAATGTAACAAATTAAAAACAACAAAAAGCAGATAACTTCTACATCCTTGGTCTGGGAAAGTCCTAAAAGAATAAATTCTGTGACGTTGTTCCTGTAGTCCATGATACACAAAAGTCTGTAGATATCTGCAATTAGATGAATTGTAAGTAAGTGTGAAATTCATTGAATATAATGAGGCATATCATCCCCTCACAGGGAGCGGCTTATCTTGGAAATGATTTGAAGGTTGAAGAAAATTGAAATCTTCATTTTTATATAAAAAAGCTGTTATAACAAGCCTTATTGTCACATTGTCTTTTCTATCTTTTTATTTCATACTTAGTTTTAGTGTGTGTGTGTGTGTGTGTGTGTGTGTGTGTCTGTGTGTGTGTGTGTGTGTGTGAATGTGCACATGTGTAAATCAAAGGAAATCTTAAGGGAGTCAATTCTCTCCTTCTGTTACGTGGATTCTGGAATGGAACTCAGGTCCACATGCTTAGTGGTAATTCTATTTTACCTATTGAGCCAGGTCATCAGCTCTTTTTCCATAGTCTTGAAAACATTAATTGCTAGCAATGTCTTTAGATCTCAGAAATAAAAGTTAAAAGTATAGAATAATAGTGAACCAGGCATAGTGGCACACACCTTTAGTCCCACCACTTGGGAGGCAGAGGCAGATGAATCTCTGTGAGCTTAATGTGCACATGTGTAAATCAAAGGATATCTTAAGGGAGTCAATTCTCTCCTTCTGTTATGTGGATTCTGGAATGGAACTCAGGTCCACATGCTTAGTGGTAATTCTGTTTTACCTATTGAGCCAGGCCATCAGCTCTTTTTCCATAGTCTTGAAAACATTAATTGCTAGCAATGTCTTTAGATCTCAGAAATAAAAGTTAAAAGTATAGAATAATAGTGAACCAGGCATAGTGGCACACACCTTTAGTCCCAGCACTTGGGAGGCAGAGGCAGGTGAATCTCTGTGAGCTTGAGACCAGTCTGGTCTACATAGTGACTTCCAGACCATCTGGGGTTACAGGGAAACCCTGTCTCAAAAATACCAAAAAATGTATAGAATAGTGCATAGTTGTGGATCATTCTATTAATACATGTAATCAATATGTATCGGCAAACATAAATGATATGATATCATCAAAGAATTACAGAATGAGCACTTTTATGGAAGTAAAAAATTAGTTATCTCTTTACTGTTTGTTATTGTGAAGACATACAAAAATAAATAAAACTTAAAAATTCCTACAATGTAAAAATATGAGGTATAATCCTTGAGAGCTGTTGTACACAGAAAGTCCCCTGCAGAAGTGTATGTGGAAAGGTCGAGGGGTGATAGGCTTGTCTATTTGTAATCTTAAGGTATTTTTATGTTGATTCTAATGCTTAATTTACAAAGGTATTTAATTTAATACTCTCGTTAATTAAAAATATAAGCCACAAGTAATTGATGACTAAAGTGTTTTCCTGACACAACAGGGGAGTTGAACATATGAACTCACAGTAGTGGTCACAGCATGGCCAAGACCTGCTTAAGCATGAGCTGGACAAAAATCACAGCATAAAAGATGGAGCTGGCCACAGTGTCTGGCCCTAGATGAAAATCTATTGACAACTGATAGCTATTGAGAGACAAAGAGTTCGTTTTTTATTAAGGGCATAGCCCCTGGTACATCCCCACTCTCCAGGGCATGACCACACACTGAGGTGTACTTGGATAGCACAAATTAAGCTTGAAGGGTTTTTTAAAACTGAGGACACAAAGTTGGATGGGTAGGGAAAGAAAATGTATCTAGGAAGAGTTAGGATGAGTAAATATGATCAAAATACATTGTATGAAATTCTCAAAGACAATAAAATACTTAAAAATAATTATGTTTTTCAATAAACTGAAGAAATAGCAATGCATAGGAAAACATTTTGAACTTTAAAGGTATATATCTGATATACCCCAAGTGTTTGGATGACAGTTACAAAAGTTTTGGGATTTTGACACCCTATCCATTTCTTAACCACCTGCCTAAATGAAATCCAGTGGTAATAGATGCATAAAATCATTGGATTTTCTATTTGACCATCCCAACATTGTACCAGCAATGCCAGTGTTGCTATATCGGGCTGGTATGTCTCACATTGACTTTTAAAAGTTTGCCTTATGCTTCCAATTTTTGTTTTCATAAAATAATGGAATATAGAATTCATTTATGTATCTGTGCTAATCAATTTGATTGACATTTTATTACTACTGTTCTTTTGATAATACTAAATATAGAACCCAGCGTTTCATGTACTGGTAGGCAAGAATTCAACAAACATCTGCAGTAGCAATAATGGTAGTTTAGGACACATAAATGTCTTTCTACTTGTAGAATTGCCAGTGTCGTTGATGCATTAAGGAATAACCAAGTAGCAAATGCTTGATCATTGTATTAGATCACACAAAATCCACTGATTTTGCCACACAGAACTCTAAGCTGTTTCATCAAAATAGTCTACCAATTTAATATATTAGTGTCAATATATTTGAATTTATTTCTTTTTCAGTAAATTTGTTATTTAAATTTATATAAGGAGAAAGAAACAAAACGTTCATCATTCCAGAGGATTATAGAGTTGACATTAATGCTACAAAACTAATTTTATTGACATCTAATGTACTGAATAGTGAAAATGGGCTATTCATAGTTAAATAAAACATTTAATTCCCATAACAACTGTTCTTTAGGCTTTTAAAATTATTATCAATGATTTAGACAATTTAATTTTCTCCTTTAACTCCTCTAAAATTGTGTTCTTCAGAATTAGTGGAAATTGTTGCATCCTTTACTTCATGCTTGATTTTCTACATGCATGCAATTAGTGAAATTTTAAAAGCATTTTCCCCTTTGTGAAGGCTCCAGTAACCCATTGCACCTCTTTGAGATTCTTTCAACATTATATTAAACCATGCTTTAAAAACACACTATAGCGTGTCTCCTCAGACACAAAGTTGAAAATAAACAGAAAATAAGCAATAGTCAGAAAAATTCATATGAGCATTTAAAATGTAAATTGATTAGTGTGTTAGAAATTTTGGATAAGACACAATTGTTTTTAAAATAATTGTATACTTACACTTAATCAGATTTACTGAGTATGCATGTAAAAGGAACTATCATTTCATTTACTTTTTAAACTTTTACAAACTTCATATTTCAAAAATTTTATGTAATGCTTCTTTATAGCTTGTTTTATATTCCATTTTAACGTGTCCTGTAGACTGACTTATGTGTATAAAATTTTGTAAACTGAATGAATCACAGAAAAGCCGAATGAAGGAGGAGGTGAGTTGCAAAGAAGAAGAAAAACTACAGCAACAGGAGGAGGGGGGTACAGGAGGGTGATGAGTGTCCATACGATCAAAGTAGGTTGCACAGGTATGAAACTGACAAAAATTTTCAAACATATATGAAGTCATGCTATCACTAACTCTTAAAAATTACACTATTTTAGCAGCAGTACAAAAATTAATTTTCTTCACCTGTCTGTCTCACTTCTAAACTCTGATTTTAAATATTCCACAGCCCCTTCATGTAATTCAGCTTATTTCTGACTCAACGCTGAGCGCTAAAGCAGATCGTCAACGATCGCTGGGACCTTATCTATGATTCTCATATGTAAATGAGGAGGCAGAAACTGGAGCTTATGGCTGGTTGCCTTTCATACAAATGCATCAGACTATATTTACAAAATCAGCCTCTAGCAACTTTCCTCCATATCACTAATGTTAAAGTCACAACAAAGATGCATTTCTTCAGGAGACGACACTCCCTCAGTGTGAACTTGTCAAAGCATGCTGGTCAGATGCTCTAAACACTGTCGCCCTTGAATCATCCAGTTCTCAGAAATTTCAAAGCACAGATAATTAAAATGTCAGCGTCTTTGACTAACATTTTGCCTCTCTCTATCTGGACTTGTTCAACTTTATTGGAATGGCTATGATTTCTAAAACTATTTCCCAAACCACGTGTACGTCACAATATTGTGTAAACTCAAAACTTCTATGCCTTCTGGTACTATGGCAAATTAATTCAAATGGTTATGCATTTATTTGTTTATGATTGAATATTTAATACTAAAATACTGTAGCTTAGTTCCCTAAGGGAATTTTAAATCTGTGAGTTAAAACTTTCATATTAAATATTCCTTATCTTACACATTATGAAAAAACAAAACAAAATGAAACAAGATTAGATCAATCATCTGTATTTTGAATCTGGGATCTAGTTTTGGGACAAATTATACAAATTTATAACTCGAAATTTCTTGTCCATCATGAAAAGAAAACAAAATTCATTTGATGATTTGCATAAAATAAGTTAATTAATCAATCACAGCCTACTGTGTGACAGGTATTGGGTGGATTACCAAAACCTCCAAAACACTAAAAGTACACTGACATTTCTATTTAGCAAGATAATTACCCTCTTCTCTCATTAATAAAATCGTAAACAAAAAAGTTAGAAATTTTAAAGGATTTCACGCATTAGACACAACATTAGAATGTAACCAGTTGCTCTTTGGTGATCCTGCCTGACTCCAAAAGATAATTTTAATCCAGTGGTGACACAGACGGCTCTGGTTAAACTAAATGGGCCACCAACACAAACCAAAAGTCAGGAAACCTGGAAATGGACTGGACAGGCGTAGGGGGTTTGAGAAGGTTGGGAAAGAGATAGGACAGGTTGAAGGAGAGAGTAGGAATGTTTAACAAGCATTCATGAAATTATCAAAGAAAAACCTTAATAAAAATGCTTAAAGCTTTATTAGACATCATGTGGGAACATATTTTAAAATAATACTCTTTCCATCCTTTATTTCTTCTGGATGTATTTCAGTCCCTCAACTATCCAATATGATTTCTCCTTTTTAAAATATTTTTAATTACTTATCTTTTTTAACTGGATTTTTGTGATTTTCATACAATATAGTTTGATGGTATTTAGATTCCCTCTGCTATACACACCTCCCTCAATTGCTCCTGCCCAATTTAATGTATTTTCTTACATAATAAGAGAATCAATTATTTAACATGCTTTTGGTAATGTAATGAACAAATTTATTTTCAAAAACTG